CCTTCATTTTTTGGAAATCAGCTCTCCTAACGTCCAAAATGCGGGTTTGACTTGTCTTAGTTTCGGCCTTCCAGTTGATGAACTGTGCCAAGTCTGCAAGGACTTTGAAGAATAAATATCCCTTTTTTTGATGTTCAACCTTTAATAGTCTCAGTTGCTGAATATCTCAAGCTTCCAAAGAAAGACATTCGCAGTTCGCTCAGACATAGAGAGTAGCATATCTTAGTTTATTTTTATAACGTCTGGGTATAACGGCACAATTTTTATTTAAGGGAACATTTCTGTTCATCCCAAATTTTGCATTGAATTAATTTCACATTTATTTTGCATATCTATGCATATTCTATAAAAATGTGTTTGGCAATCAAGGGGCAACAACTTACATTAGAAGGAACTGATTTGAAACTGCTGCTATACCAGTGTATATTTGTCTGTCTGTGTGCAGTATAAATGCTTTATTTCTTGGTACCTTACAGCAAGGTTTTGGAGAAATTGGTGGCAATGCAGCTAAAAGTGCTTCTTTATGGATAGACAGTAAATTTTTAGATAATTTCAGCCTCGATTAACCTCAGATATTGTGCAGAGATTGCCTTTCTTAAAGGGAAAACAAAATTTAGGGCCTTTGGCAGGAATATAATTCAATTTGTGTAGTCTAGCCTGTCTTTATTCATAACACCAATTAAAATTATTAATTAGAAAGATTTTTAACTCAATTCCTCATCTGGAAATGTTTAATTATATTAGGCAAGTACAAAAGATATCTACTTGGATTTTGTTTTCCAATTAAGATTGATGTATAAAGTTATAGCTATGTTTAGTGCTTTCAGAAGCCACACTAGAATCTACTTTTATAATAAATATCCAAATAAAAGTTATTTGTTAAAGAGACTATGGATATGTTCATAGAACACAACAGGGCAGGGAATTATGGATTGTCGTGGCTGCGTCTGCACCAGCCACTCTACTTAGGCGATCCCTCATAGTCCAAGGATGATGGTCCTCAAGGGACAGGGCTTCCCAGTTCTCAGCGTCTATGCCGGAGTTTTTAAGTTTGGCTTTGAGCCCATCTTTAAATTTCTTTTCCTGTCCTCCAACATTCCGTTTTCCGTTCTTGAGTTCGGAATAGAGCAACTGCTTTGGGAGACTGTGGTCGGGCATCCAGACAACATGGCCAGTCCAACGGAGTTGATGGCGGAGGACCATCGCTTCAATGCTGGTGGTCTTTATTTCTTCCAGCACTCTGACATTTATCCGCTTGTCTTCCCAAGAGATTTGCAGGATTTTTTGGAGGCAGCGCTGATGGAATCGTTCCAGGAGTTGCATGTGATGTCTGTAGACAGTCCATGTTTCGCAGGCGTATAGCAGGGTTGGGAGGACAATAGCTTTGTAAACCAGCACCTTGGCACTCTTCTAGGGCCAATCTGGAGTATTATGCTCTGGAATGCCCTGGATTGATCGTGATGGCAGATATAGATATAGGCACCAGGCCAATCCTTTGCAGAATCATGTTGGTGTCCAGCAGGGCCAGGCAGGCTGAGGTCACATCAGCCCCACTTGATTGTCCCCTTGTCATTCATGTTGCCAAGATCAGTCCTCAGTGGCCAAGGCCTCCCTGCGAGCTCTTGAACATAGTAGTCCAGGCATGGGCAAACTTCGGCCCTCCAGGTGTTTTGCTAGCTGTTAGAAATTGTGGGAGTTGAAGTCCAAAACACCTGGAGGGCCAAAGTTTGCCCATGCTTGCAGTAGTCACATACCTATACTATATTTTAATTCCTTCTTTTTATAACTGGGTTGTAGTGTGTGGCCACAGTGTGCCCAGTTTAATTGTTTCTGATTCCGAAGTGAAAATTTGGAGATCTGTGCAACCCATTTATCTGAATATATGTATATTTGTTTCTTTTGGAGCAAGCCAAAGAAAGTATATATTTTAAAACATAGAATAAAATTCCTCATTCTGATTTCTTCCCTTTTAGGCCACATAATATCGATTACTTCATGCAAGAAGCGAAAAGGAAAAAGCATAAAGCAGATGCAATGGTAAGAATTTGAATTTGTAGTAGGGTATTTTTCAGATTTTCTGGTCACAGCAAAAAAAATTTAAATTAAGTTAATACATTGTAATCCTGAAATTGTTTTAATTTGGTCACTAGCTATATTAGTAAAAATATAATAATAAAATGTATAGTCGAAAAAGTATGCCTTAAGCAGTATCCAATACATTCCTGCATAAATTCATATATTTTTTTGCATTGGTATTTTAGTGTTTTTTTTTAAGTCTTTATTAGTGTAACACTGCATTCCCAAAATGGTTTTGACTTTTTGGTCAATTGTAAGGATTATATGAATAGGCTTGTATTCGCTGTTGGCCTTTTTACCCATGGAATGTGCTTTGATCTTGAACAGGAGGACAAGGTGGTTTTCTTATTTTCTAGTGTCTTTCCTGGGGCCCTTCCACACGGTCATATAGCCCAGAATATCAAGGCAGAAAATCCCACAATATCTGCTATGAACTGGGATCCCTTACACACAGATCCCTTACACCATATACTTGCTCCACATTACTCATCAATTTCCCTTTCTTTCTGGTCTTCTGTTTATTGTTATTGTTCTTACTATTTACTTATTTATTCTAAAACATAGAATTTTTTATAATAACAAAATACAACAAATTACGAGAAAAATAAATAGCAGTAAATTTTAAGCTATATAAGAACAATAAAATACATGGCATTGTTCTAAACAGTAATCAGGAGCCCCCGGTGGTGCAGTGGGTTAAACCCCTGTGCCAGCAGGACTGAAGACCGACAGGTTGCAGGTTCGAATCCGGGGAGAGGCGGATGAGCTCCCTCTATCAGCTCCAGCTCTTCATGCGGGGACATGAGAGAAGCCTCCCACAAGGATGATAAAACATCAAATCATCCGGGCGTCCCCTGGGCAATGTCCTTGGAGACGGCCAATTCTCTCACACCAGAAGCAACTTGCAGTTTCTCAAGTGCTCCTGACACGACAAAAAAAAAAATCAGTCCTAACAAACTTTCTCAAAATATAATGTTTTAAGGCTTTTCCAAAAAAAACACCTTATAATTAGGGTTCCAGAATACTGGGACTGCCACATAAAAGCCCTGCTACTTGTTGAGGGAAACTCACAAAGAAAGAAAAGTTCTCTGAGATTATAAGGACCCAACCTTTTTGGGGCTATTACAGTCAATCCAGCACTTGGAATTTAGGGCTGAAGTACATGGGTAGCAAATGTAGCTGTCTTGATCTAAAATGTAATAACATTACTTCATCCCTGCCAGCATTCATGCTGTCACATACCATTATAGTTAAGATTCAGATTTCTCTTCAAGGGCTCCCTCATGTGAGATCATGAAATGAATTTGCATTATGATTTCAGATGGAGAATTGTCTCTGCAATGTAAATTTTCACTGTCAAACTGCTATGATGACACAGAAACTTTGTGTTATACAAGTAATACACATAATAAGGTATTCTACATGTTAATAGTAGTCATATTGTGCTGTCTTCATACAAGATATATTTCAGCTGGCTTCCATGTGGAGAGGATAATAGACTGAGAAGCACAGATGTTTACTATTACAAAATTTTACCCAAGTATTCCCTGAGATCACATAGGAATGCACTCCCGCCAACAGACTAATTATATATATTCTCTCCTTTTCTCTACATGCAATATGTTGAAAAGGCACATTGCATAATAAGAGATTCCATATGCTTAGTAATTGTATTTTCCTTAAACACATATCTGTGTTTAATATATTTTAATCTATGTATACTTCTGTCTGATTTAATGACTATGATCATACTGGCCACATTCAGATGATCATATATCAGTTTAGTAAACCAAGGTGTACCCCTTTTGTTCATAACGGAGATTAATATGCCCAGAGATTAACCATATCTTCCCACTGGGTTGTAATAAGTTTTCCAGGCCATGTGGCCATGTTCCAGAAGCATTCTCTCCTGATGTTTCACCTGCATCTATGGCAGGCATCCTCAGAGGTTGTGAAGTCTGTTGGAAACTAGGAAAATGGGGTTTATATCTTCCCACTTCTTTTGGCGTTAACAATTTTGTAACAAGCTGGAATATTAAGAACAATTTGGAATGTGGTTAAGAATTTGACTTTTTTCAGGTGTTTTTCAGAAAGATAGTCATGGTGATTTGTTTTACTATAAAGGCATAAAGAATTCAGCAAAATATAATAGCTTGGACCCAATGATGGTTGTGCGTCGTGGTTCACAATTACATTCGTGCAGCGAGTGAGAGACGCTGGTGTGTGCTATAAACTTAACTCTTGGTAACTGCCATTTTTTTACCATTCTTCACTTTCACCCAAACTTAATTATATGTGGATGAAGCATGGTATAAACTTAACGCTGTCTCACGCACATCTTCATTTCTCTAATTGTGACCCACATTGCACAACCAGCATTGGGTCCCAGCTATCATACTTTTGCCAAGAATTCCAGTATACCATTTGAGACTAACAGGGAAGAGATTTCCTGCAAAAGCTTTTATGGGCACAGTTCACTTATTTTGATGCTAATAAGATTATTTTTCTAGTTTAGAAGAAATGGGACATTGATGTTACACAGAATAAGTCTCAAACTGCGAATAGACTTCAAAAGCTTCATGGTATTCAAAAGCTTTCTCACAGTGAGAAGAAAATAGCTGAAATTATGTGTTACCACCTTTGAGAACAGTTACCTCTCTAACATGTTGCTTTTTTAAAAAAAAAATCATGATCTCAGTTATTGAGGGGTGAAGGGTTCCCATCCTCAGCAAAAGGCTATTGTGTTTTCTTATTAAGCTGATCTATGGTTGTCTGAGCCAATGACTCCACTAGTGCTATTATTTTGTCCCATCAGATCACTATTTGGATATATTTCAGAGTGGATAGAACTGAGGGTTTTTTTCAATAAGTATACATCTAAATGCAACAATTACTAATTGTTGTTTTCTTTTGTGATAAACTTGTAAGGTGGAGAAATTTGGGAAGGCACTGAATTATGTTGAAGCGGCATTATCATTTATCGAATGTGGAAATGCCATGGAACAAGGGCCCACGGAGTCTAAGTCTCCATACACAATGTATTCTGAAACAGTTGAACTCATCAGGTAAGAGAGCCTAGAGTATTCTGGCCCTTGGTTGAATCCATTCAGTCCCCTGCCTATGGAGTTTTGCTTCTATATCAAGAAAATAACTACGTATATAGGTAATTAAAGGATATAAAAGTGCTAACCTGTGATAAGACTATTCAGGGGGCATTTTATATACTAGGTCTAACCTTGCTTGAATTAGAACTTCCTGAAACATCTTATCAAAATTAGATATGAGAGAAGCCTTCCACAGGAGAGTAAAACATCTAGTCATCCCCTGGGCAACGTCCTTGCAGATGGCCAATTCTCTTCCACCAGAAACAATTTGCAGTTTCTCAAGTCGCTTCTGACCTGATAAAAAGTCACCCTTTGGCTGCATCTTTAGATTCTTTCTGAATAAATAGTAACACTGTCTCCATAAGTCATTAAAAGCAATGTATGTGAGGGAAATGAGGAGATCGAGTTCAAATTATCATTAATGGGTTCTGCTAGCAAAGCCAAGAAGTGTATGAATAGCCATCAAGACAGAAGCAAACAAGAGAAATAGAAACTGAAAAATTGAGTTTTAGGGGGTCTCCTTCAAGGATGAATGTGAAAGAGAGGCCAGGCAAATGTCAATTGACATAATATTCCAAATATTGGATGTAGAGAAGAAATAATACAGTAAATAGATGTGTGTGAAAGCATGTTCAGAGAGCATGGGAAAAGGTGCTATGAAAGAATACAAGAAGTGACACTGATGCAAAAGAGTTTAAAACAGGGTGAATATTTAAAGCATGATATGAGAATGTATGGCAACCATAGAAAAATATAAAAGGATGAGATCAATTGGTGATAACAGTAGACTTTTTTAGTTTCATGTCAAAAGTATTGCATAAATAAAAAAAGTTTAAAACTGATAAAATAAGGGGATCACAAGCAGCTAAATAGATTTAGACAAAAACGAGCAACAGTGATTGCCTGTAGCTTTAAACATTTCTTCCTCTGTGCATAAGGCAGGGCATTGTGAGCAAGTATACAGATGCGGAGTTGTTTGTTCTGCTCCACAGTCACACAAGGTGGAGGACTCTTCTAGGTAGTGCCATTTTGCCATGTTGCCTTTTGATTTGCCCACTCCACTTCTGAGTCTGTCCAGGGACTTCCAACAGTAGACAAAATAGAATGAGTGGAAAAGAACGGACAGAAAAGAAACAACATGTTTAATGTGAGGAATGAGAAAAGGCAAGATCTAAATCATAACAACGATCAGTGTGGAGCAGAATGAGAAGTATAAATTATTGGAAGAAACAGAGTGCAATCAGAGTTAGAGCTGGGGAAGCTCATCCTACATGGTGCAATGAAGTTTTCAGACCACAAGCTGTTGACTTTGAAAGAGCAGTTTAGCTGACAGTACAAAACAGAGATGGTGATCATGTGGCCTTCTCCTCTCAGCATTCTTCTCCTTAAGGTTGGGGTTGATGAGAGTTGCAGTCGAACAACATTAGAAATGTTGCTGATTCCCATCCCTAGTATAATGTAAAAAGCACCAAGAACCAAATTTAAAATACAATAATATTGAAGAAAATGAAAACAACAGGCATGTTTATTACTTTATAAATAAACAGCTTTCTGAAAAGTACTGTGGTATAAAGCTGGGCCACAAAGCAGACCAACGGCAAGTTCAAAAAGTATTCCCACTCAAAGCAGAGATCAGACAGATGATAATAGCAATAAATATGACAGACAGGAATTTCACCCTAGACAAACTTTAGTTCCACTGAATCCCCAGCATAGAGTAGATACACTTACAATCCAGCTGTAGCTTCTCAGCTACAATGAAGCAATCCAGTCCCATCATTCATCAGACACATCCTATAAAAGTCTTTTGTGCTTATTGTTTGCTGACCTTGTGCTTGATCTTTTGAAGGTATGCTGTCAGACTAAAAACCCACTCAGTCCCCAGCGCTACTCCAGAAGAAAAACTATTAGCAACATTGTGGTTAGTAAATTCTTTGTTACTATTTGGAGATTTGTATTCAGTGAATCTATCCACAAAATTGAATGTTAAGATCAATTCTTCTGTTAGAGACTGGAATGTTAATAACTATTAACTATTACTGATCTGTTTATGTTAATGTTAAATGGAAGATTTTTGTGCATTTAGTTATGATATGAAATATTGTTGTTGATGCTAGAAGTCATAGGTTTGGCAGAGAAAACAGCACACTATGCTTCAATTAGCACAGTTGCCTACAAATGGCCTGTTTTGTGGTTGGCTCCCTCAAAAGTTTTTATTTGCTTCCTGAACCTGGTACTTTCAGGAGAAGTGCATTTTGTTAATAGTGTAAGTAAGCCTCTGAAATCATTATATTTAAGACACTTGTAGCAAATCGGAAAAAATGATTAGATTTAAGAAAATTATGCATTTTAAGCATATAGTTTCAAGAATGCATCATGCTGTGGATGTAAAATACTATGTATAACTTTGTGCAAATCAACTAGTAAGCCTGATTTTACCAGTAAATATGGTAGATCAATTTGGTGTTTTTAGAGGAAACATGAAATGTATGTGCCTCAGACGCATCCTGTTCCTTTGCATAACTGTGACAGAATGAATTTCCTGTGTCTGGCAACTGTCTGCGTAGAACACAGAAAAGTCTGTTATTTCCCATTCTTACCAAGTGGATGATAGAAAACCTGGACATGACAGTGGTGTGAATGAACAATGAGCATCAGCAACAAACATTTACACCATTCGTTTATTCTGCCATGGTCTAAGCCATTCATAGTCTGGCTTCCAGTCTGACACATGCAGGAGAAGTCAGACATAGATTTCTTCAAACAGTACCATCATGGAAATGCAAGTTGTGACCCAAGGTGTATTTACACTGTGAAGTGAATACAGTTTGACACCACTTTAACTGCCATGGCTCCATGCTATGGAATCCTGGGATTTGTAGTTTGGTGAGGATTCAGCACTCTTAAGCAAAAAAATGTCTGAAGACTTTGTAAAACTACAACTCCTGTGATCTCATGGCATTGAGCCATGCAGTTAAAGTGACATCGCACTGCATTAATTCACAGTGTAGATGCGCTCTCAGAAACACACAGTTATGACATATGCCTTACATCAGTTGGAGTTTTATCATCAGAAATGTAAATGGTGTCTAGGCATCCCAGAAGTTCAGCTTTCTGCTTCAAATGGGTGCCATTCACAACAAACCAAATTGCATTTGACTTGTTTCTCAAGGATGTCTTCTTGTCCCTGATGCTGTTGCAATGTTACAAAAATCATTCTCCTAAATATCATCTTTTGAGCTACTGTTATGCGAGCACATCAGATAATCTGGATTCCTTTGAAATCAAAAGTTTCCATAATTTCTGTTCAACATTAATAAGCACTAATGTCTTGTAGTACTAGAAATGGGATATGTAGAGTGTTATAAAAGTCTCCATAGTAAAGGTAAAGGTTTTCCCCTGACATGAAGTCCAGTCGTGTCCGACTCTGGGGTGTGGTGCTCATCTCCATTTCTAAGCCGAAGAGCCGGCCTTGTCCATAGACACCTCCAAGGTCATGTGGCTGGCATGACTGCATGGAGCGCTACTACCTTCCTGCCAGAGTGGTACCTATTGATCTACTCACATTTGCATGTTTTTGAACTGCTAGGTTGGCAGGAGCTGGGGCTAATAGCGGAAGCTCACACTGCTCCCCGGATTCGAACCTGCGACCTTTCGGTCAACAAGCTCAGCAGCTCAGTGCTTTAACCCACTGTGCCACCAAGGGGGAAAAATGAACTCATATATAAAAATGTATATTATATGTTATAATTTTAACATTTTAATGTGTTTATACTTTCAGATATACATAATGTACAGAATATTTTGTACAATTTTGTAATGAACGTTTTGTAAATTAGGGTACAATTAGCTATGGTTTCCCATTTCCCCTGTATATGGCAGTTTTTGGGATACCATGTAGTAATACATTTTGGAAACTGAAGCACCTTTATTTTCCTTTTTAGCAACCTTTCCTGTTTTTCTTGGAGGGGAGACCTAAAAAGGTCTGCAGAGCTGGGGATAGTAGTTTCTCAGTGTGCAATTCAAAGAAGAAAATGTTGCATTTCTTTACAAAGAAAAAAGAAAGGTCAAACAGAGGGAAGGCAGAAGTAAATGCCTTTGAATAGGAGCCCAGCTCCCTGCTTGCCACAGAGCAGATGAGCAGCTGTGATTTGCATATTCCCTGTACCTGGGAAGGTTGCAGAACTAGAGTTATGACCTGAGTGCTGCAATTCCTTTGTGTTGCCTGGCTCCATACAGAGCAAATCAGGCATAATGCCATGGAAAGACTATATACATACCCGGCAGGATGTTTTCATCTCTTAGGCAAACACTGTCCTCTAGTGGAATAAGAGGGAACGCAAGTCAATTACTGCAGTTCTTTCACAAAAATAATGAAATACAGCATCACAGATAAGCATACCCACTTTCATGTAAGACACCACCATTTTTGTTCGTGCCATTCCATCTCAGTCTTTTTAAAAGAAAGGTTCCTCACTCCTTAAAAAAGCAATTACTCTACATTTAATTAATAAACCATAAGATAAACTATTCTCTTTTAAAATATATTGTGTCATTTCATAACACAAACAAACAAAACATGAAAAACCTTGGGATCTTTCTGTGTGCAGACGGATCCATGTATTTTGAACAGTTTTCTGCATGAAAAAAGGTCAGTGTTATTGTTGTATACCTTCAAGTCATTTCTAAGTTACAGTGATATTACCGTGAGCTTTCTACAGGGTTTTCTCATCAAGATAATAATAAAACTTTAATAATAATAATAATAATAATAATAATAATAATAATAATAATAATAGGAGCTCCCTGTGGCGCAATGGGTTAAACCCTTGTGCCGGCAGGACTGCTGACCAAAAGGTTGGCAGTTCAAATCCAGGGAGCGGGGTGAGCTCCTGTTTGTGAGCTCCAGCTTCTCATGCAATGACGTGAGAGAAGCCTCCCACAGGATGGTAAAACATCCAGGCATCCCCTGGGCAATGCCCTTGCAGATGGCCAATTCTTCCACACCAGTTTCTCAAGTTGCTACTGACACAATAATAATAATAATAATAATAATAATAATAATAATACTTTACTTATACCCTGTCCTCTCTCTCTGGAGGGACTCATGGCGGTTGTCCTCTGATGCTGAGAGAGTATGACTTGACCAAAATCATCCAGTGGGCTTCCTTGGCTGAGTGGGGAGTTGAACTCAGTCTAACACTCAAATCATTACACCACATAAGCTCTCACTTATAGAATATGTACTCATTTTTCTCTCTAAAAGGTTTTGCAAATGCATGCCTTTGCAGTGCTTCAACAACATGCAATGTGTAATTGTCAAGAGACAGAGAAATGTGTACACTATAGACACCATGAGCATGTATGGGTTGATTATGCTATCATCATTTTGCTTCAAAATGTAATAAGTATTCAGTATCCTGGAAAATTTTCTGGGTTCATTTTATATATATATATATATATATATATATATATATATATATATATATATTCCTTATTCTTGGTTTGATTATCTAAATGAAATGTCTTTGAAACTTTCTCTTTTCCTTATAGTTATCGATGTTTGGCACTCTTATACTGGAGGATGTTTCGACTCAAAAGAGACCATGCCGTAAAATATTCTAAAGCACTTATTGAGTATTTCAAGGTACTTTCCTGTCTTGAGGAAACATTTAAACATCTCAGAGAGGCTTTACTGGAAACTTATCAGCCACAAAACATCTCCGGAAGGCTGTACTGCTTCTGTATACAGAAAGTGTTCAACATGTATTAGAATACACCTAAACTGCTCCTAAAGAGAAGTATTCACAAACCTCCCACATTTTGTTCTGTTGTAACCTGAAATTGAAATGGATTTAATTGACATTGTTCCCTGTTGATGTGCCCAAGACACTCAGCATTGTGAAGATGCAGAATATTTTTTATTATTGCAGAAATGTTGTATAGACAACAAAACCTCGCCTAAAGTTTAAATGGAGTGTGAGTGGAACACTCACACCGAAAAGATTATTACTATTTCAGAAACAGGTGGCATATTCCACACACCATCTGCTTAAACAAAGTTATACTAAGCACAGATGGTTTTTTTCCCTGTTTCTGTATTTGCTAATAAGCATATGTCCTCATAATTTTAATTGTTTCTTTTTTGTTCTCCTATTGCATTTGTGTGCAAATGCAATAATGTATATAGAAATATATTTTATGCAGAAAAGCCATTAATTAAATGTTGCAAATAATAATTTGGTCCATCCTGTGAGATCTGACTATGCATGTTATGGGCTCAAAAACACTCTCTCTTTGCTGGGGCATGCTGCTCTGTCAGCACTTATTATAAACCTATAATTCCTATGATTTACAAAATTATTATTTCCAAAATGTATTTTTCTACCTTTACTCCTCACCTGGACCTCATTTATCTCTTTGTAGAATTCCTCAAAAGGTGCTCAGGCACCATCTCCATGGAGTACCAGTGGAAAGTAAGTTCAGTGCTCAACCATAATTTGCTAAGGCATCATTAAGAAATACTGTTTCAGATGCTATTTGAATTCTAGACACTTAGAAATGATTGTTTCACAGCTGATATTCATAATTTGAAACTGAGTTCTCACTTTTGGTAATGGAATTGCTGCAGTGAATGTTTATTTGAGGCCTAAATCCAATTGCTGCTCATAACTAAAGCAGACATATCTAATCAGCGAGACTTATGCAAGTGTGGTCTTGCATAATAGCTGTTGAAACTAACAATTAATAATTTTTCTGTGTTCAGATACAACATACCTATAGATACCAGACAAAAGTTGCAGTCTTTGAGAACTATAGGGAAAGAGGAGGATGACTAATTACACCTTATATATATCCTGCCTAGTTGTTGAACACCTATCTTTGCTAGTCTGTTGTATACCATCTCAATTCCAATAATTTTGGCCTATTTTAAGAGTTTTTAAGAATTCAATGTATTGTAAATATGTGAATGTCTTATGTCATGTTTATTTAACTTGTTATTTTTATAATTTTTATTTAGTTTGTTTTTGACTTGTTATATGTTAGTCTTGGCATTGGATGTTTGCCACTGTATTTTATTTTGTTGTAAGCTGCCTTGAGACCCTCCAGGGAGATAGGGTAGGCTATAAATGAAGCTTATTATTATTATTATTATTATTATTATTATTATTATTAAGAGCAGTGATGTTCATCATAAGGCAGAATGGAGCTGTGAATTATGTGTCGGGACTGCTCTTGTGTTTATGTGCAGCTCCATTTCCTGTAATAAACTCTCTTTTCCAGGCACACTGGGACACCCTCTCCCATATCACCCAGCCCATCCCCTGTGAGTTCTGTGGGGTCCCAGGGGAGCACAGGCGCACCTTCCCCCTCGTCCATTGTCAGCATCCCACAGCGAATACACCAGATGGCTGCCAACCATGTCAGTATCACCAACAGCATCCTACACAGCTATGACTACTGGGAGATGGCTGACAATCTTGCCAAGGAAAACCAAGGTGTGTGTGATAAGACATTGTTCCCTAAATCTCTATGTGAATATACACACTCCATACTGTCAAAATCATTTCTCAGTATAGCTCATTTAAGTAAACCCTATGAAATTGATAGGTTCTCATAAGTTGACTGACAACTGGAAGGCATACATTGTGGTGTCTAGTATGATGACAGACAGTACAGTGTGTGTGTGTATCGGTAAAGGTAAAGGTTGTCCCCTGACATTAAGTCCAGTCGTGTCCGACTCTGAGGCTTGGTGCTCATCTCCATTTCTCAGCCGAAGAGTCAGTGTTGTCCATAGGCACCTCCAAGGTCATTTGGCCAGCATGACCTCATGAAGCGCTGTTGCCTTCTCACCAGAGCGGTACCTATTGATATACTCACATTTGCATATTTTCGAACTACTAGGTTGGTAGAAGCTGGGGCTAACAATGGGAGCTCACGCCACTTTCTGGATTCAAACCTGTGACCTTTTGGCAGTGCTTTAACCCACTGCACCACTGGGTGCTCTCTCTCTCTCTCTCTCTCTCTCTCTATATATATATATATATATATATATATGTTTTAAATAAGTAATATTACTCTTGATGACCAAATCACACTGAATCCCATGAAATAAATTAATTGTGACTGAGTCCAATCCTAACATTATCAAGAGGACATAGTCACTAACAACTTATTTTTGGCAGAATCAATGTCTATTTTATCAATTAACTAGTATCAGGTCTTCCTTACTTTCTTTTTTGCCATCAATGGACTGGAGAAAAAAATAAGAACCAATTCCTTATTTTAAATATAATGTATTAATGTAGGCATGAGCATTTATTGAAAACCTCAATTGAGTATTTAAATTTTACCTACTTTCATAATATATTTTGTGCATTAATAATAAATCAGTAAGATACTCTGCAATGCCACAAGATGTAAAAATATTGATTTGTTTTCATGTTTTACTCCCTAGATTTCTTTAATGATTTGGATGCCTTGATGGGACCTGTCACCTTGCACAGCAGTATGGACCATTTGGTCCAGTACACCCAACAAGGACTTCTCTGGATCAGGAGCAGTGCTCAATTCTCATAATATCCATTGGGACAGAAGACTCTTCCACAGACAATTAAATTATTCTAGACACTGTGCTACAGAAATACTCAACTATAGCATTGCTTCAAATCAATGTGAATATTGTGTTTAACACTGAACAATATTTTTTCAGAGTACAAAAATCAGTGTGTATGTATATTATGCAAAGGTTGTCTCCTTGGATGAATTATACTTTAATAGTCTCCAAATATCACTTCAGTTATTGTAAAGAAGAAAACTGAAAATATGTGTATTAGAGCAAACTCTCTCTCAATCTCTTTCTACTCTCTCTCTCTCTGTCACACATACACTCACACATAGACCTTAGTATGCTAATTCTGAACTTTATGGATCAGTGTAATCAAGTCCAGTAAACTATAGCACCTTTGCTTCAGAAAAGCATTTTTATTCTATTTCAAACACATTCCTAAATTTCTGAAAAGATGGTTTCCTGATTTAGTCTGGTTGCAGTCATACTGAATGATTTTCTATTCACAAAGCACATTTATTCTGTGCTTCGTATTGATGAACAATTTCTCTTTTCTTGGGGACAAATGTATCTCTTACACAAGATGCTGGGTGCCAATTTGCATGCTTTCTGGCAGCTTTCCTTCCCTCGAAGTAGTACTTTCTTCATGAGCAGTCAGCCTCATACACAAGAATAAAACTACTAGTATGTAACAATAAGGGCTTCTTTCCATTTACAGAGTTCAGGCATAATATTTTATTGATTCTTATTCTGGAATGTTTGATTTGTATTCTGCAAATTTTGGTAAAATCACACAATAGCTGTGCTTTGCAGTCCTACACAAGATCAGGAATGAGCAATTCGCTTATCCATTGTTTTTCTGGGCCTTTGAGCCTCAGCCATTATTTCAAATTCTCTTCCATTTTAAGTGAGTGCAGCATTAATTGGGTTAACCCAAGAATCACTGGAATAGCTTTGAATTCACTACATCCAAAACTGTCTCTGCTGAAAACTGTTTCAGAGCCTTACAATTGCTACCTCTAGTGGGAATGCCACCAGTATCTTTACATGGATCAAAGCAGGCTGCAAAGGCTGGATCATGGTCATCCACCCAAGCTAACAATTCTGAGTTAGACTGTATTTACCTTTCATTCATCTCCAATAAATCTACATAGGATGGTGCCACAAGCTCCAGAACCACTTAAGAGTTCTCCCCTTGTACACATCATTTTAATCTATTTATCAAAAACAATTTCACAGTATCTAACAAGAAATAACCATAATGTTTGTCAATTAAGATGCTCCAAATAAAAATTAGCACATCAGGATCAGGAAGAAATCAAAACTTCTTAATGTCAGCTGGTGAATACTGTAGAACTGAAATTCTCATAGATATAGGTTGAGCGTTAGCAAGAACCTGGCAGAATATAATTCTCCCCCCAGAGTACTTACACAGTTGGCAGAGTGTGCCCCTTTATCCCTGTTTCCTCCCCCGCTGTGTGACATAGTCTGGGCCTCCTGAATGCAGTGTCATCCTCCCATTCAGTTATTGATCAGCTGTAGAGGTGTGCATAGACAAATCCCACCTATGCTCACACACCTGGGGAACATGGGGCAGTTTCTGCCTCACATGTAAGATTTCTTCTTCTCTGTATGTATGAAGACAGTCTGAATGCGTCTATGCACCCAGCTGGTCAATAGCTGGAAGGATGAAGCTGCTGCTTGGAGTCCCCAGGCCTCTGTTTGACATTAGGGCAAGGGTGTTGTACAAGGAGGTACTAGATTTTTTACACAGTGCCCCCAAAAGTATATTATATAACGGGAGGAAACATTTTGGTGGGAGTGCAGACTGCAGTGAATAATTCACAGGAGGTTAACACTGACTCAACAAAATTGCCTACCATTTGATTCACGTTGCAGTTCACATTGTATAACAACCAAAAGTTAACCTGGAGCCTACTTTTTAAGCAGGGATGTGCCCAGTCCTTTTCTTTTAGCTGGATGTGCTGTGAGATGCACACCCAGTTACAGGGAAAAATATGTCCCAAGATGATGATGTTCCAGTGTATCCAGCTACAGGAAAAAACTGGAAGTTTCCCTGCTCATCTTCCAGCTCTCTGAGAACACAGAAGTGGCCATATGGGTGGAGACTCCACTACATAAATAGGATTGGGGAGTTAGCATCAAATGCAGTTACAGAATTGTACCTGTGTCCAGCTGTCCAGATTATTTTTTAAAAACAGTCTTAAACTAAAATTTAAGTGCTGATTAAGGATTCTGCCTCTTTCCCTTTTCTGTTATCTTTAATGACAGATAATATATGATGTTTATTAAAGTACAGAATGTTATTTCTCTTTCATTTTATCCGTTATTACACTTGTGCCCTGATTTGTCAATCCATTACAGGCATTTGGATGTTAATTATCCAATACAGAGTGCTAGGTCTGCAAAGAAAAGCCATGCACATTTAGAAATCTTATCTCTCTGGCAGTGAAGGATCCACTCACATCTATGTCCGAATTCCTATATACATACAACTCCTGGTCTTGTAGCCTTTCATTTCCTTAAATTGTAATTTCCCATCTATTACAGTTACAACAACAAATATTCTTGTTGCACCCTAAAAAGTATCAAATTTTATTTGTCATAAGCATTTGTGTACTTTAGCACTTATACCTAAGAGGCACTGCACCATGCATTTGGTGAAATGGGTTGTTGTCTATGAGATCTTATGTCAAATAAGAGTTGTTAGTCTTTATAAAGTGTCACAACATTCCTCATTTTCCTTGTTATTAAGAGCTTCTTTGGATAAATACAATCATTCCTAGAAATTGAAATGTTTTTTGGGGGGGAGACCTCTTTGTTTGTTCATTAGTATACAACCTTTTTTACTTATTTATGTTTAAGGTCATTGCGCTTATCGTCCATAAGATGAAGTTATCAGTGTAAGGACACAAGTACATATACTTGGTGAATAAGGTCTAAAACTAGTGAGCCTGAAGAATAATTATTGCCACTATACTCAGAGAATAGTACTCTTTGGACTACATAAAAATTGGCCTTCTATTAGTAACTTACACAGGCATAGGTTTAATATATGCCTCCATGTGTCTTTTTTTATGTTGTTTCTTCCTCCTTCATAAAATCGCCAAGCTCCTCATATACCCATCTTCTTGCTTACTCTGCAGCCATATAGTGACCAATGAATAGCAAAGGAAAGCTAAGAATCACCTGACAAAACCATTAAAACATCTTCCTCTGGAGGTCCTGGAAGATGGATTATTTGTTTTGTTGTACTTTTGACCATAGACACATAGCCAGGTGCTTCTTATCTGTGCCCTGCTCTCAACCAACTACTACTTGTCCATGGAGTGCAAAGATGAACAGGAGGAAAGTGAGCCATTCAGGCGAGGATGCGGAGATCTTTCTTCGTCCCACCAGGATCTCACCAGCATCTGTTAGTCCCAACTAGATTGGATCTATTGAATCAAAGGGAATTTGGCAAATCAGCACTTATATAAGTTCCATTGACTTTTGGTGTCTGCTCTAGTTGGGACTATCAATTGGATTTAGGCATGTACTCAGATAACATCTGAACAGGAAAACTATAGCAAAACTAGAATGGGAAGGGAGTTAATGTTTTTGCATAGATTGAGTATCCCTTATCTAAATACTTGTAACCAGAAGTGTTTTTAATTTTTATTTCTCTGGATTTTGATAAATTTGCTTAAATGTAATGAGATATCTTGGAGATGGGACATTTATGTTTCGTATACACCTTATACATTTAGCCTGAAGGTAATTTTATATGTAATATTTTATAATCCTGTGTATGAAAAATGTTTGTGTACATGAAACCATCAGAAAGCAAATATGTCACTATCTCAGCTATCCATGTGGACAATTTCATATTTTGAATTTCTGTATAAGGGATGCTCAGCCTGTAGTGACATTATCCCAATAATGACACTGGTCAATAAGATCGCACCAGTGTAAGATGGTCATTGAATTAATTTTTTATGCTATTTCCCTTTTTAATGGTTGGCCTTCAAAACTATGCATTAGTATTGAGATATATATTTCCACCTATGAACCAGGTTATTAATGTTGAGTTGTAATAAGGACAACCATTTAAACCTTTTTGATGAATCCATCCACAAGGCTGCAACTGACATAAGCCTTGATGTGTGTGTAGTGGGGCTTTTTTACTGAAAATTTTTCATCAAAATAACACCAGACTTTGAAAACTGATGTACATTGAACATGTCTCTCTTTCTCTAATAGGTAGCAGATAAGACACATGCATGTCTACTCAGAAGTAAGTGTTAGTGTGTTCAGTGGAGCTTGCTCCCTTTCGTGTACATAGATCTGCTGCCTAAGTGATTCAAACTAGTAAACAATCACAACTGATCTTTTGCTGTTTTATAAGATTATTGGGGTTTTTTTTAAAGAAAATCTTATCAAATCATTGTATTTTAATCTGCAAATATTTTTGAAAACCTTTCCTTATTGAAGGTAAGGCTAAATGTGGATTAATTTTAATGTAGAGGATTTACTTTATATTACAACCAAAACCATTACAAACATATATCTGCAGACTACAATAATATACAAAATAGTCTCTATGTTCCCATTATTTACATTTTAGTCCATTGCAATGATCCATGCAATCACAGAGAAGCAGTGATGTGTCATATGATGAAGGAATATTACAAAATCATTGGTCTATGTTTAATGGAGTCCTTTTTATCCAATGCCAGCAGAAAGAGCAGCCTCCCCATGCCCTTGATGAAGTCCTCTAAGGCACACCCCCACACACAAAAAAACCAACATTCCAGGCAATTCCACACCCCTCTGGAGTTCATTTTTGAGTTAATGGGTGTATCTGCAGAACAATGGGGGAAATGGTTTATTTTTGGAGAAGCAGCAAGTACAATACACCTCTGAATCCTAGTCCTTTTGGAGAAATGGATGCTACAGGTAGATTGGCTTCAGATAGATAGATAGATAGATAGATAGATAGATAGATAGATAGATAGATAGATCTTTGGCAAAAAGCAAGCAGAAGATTGCATCCAACTTAATATCACTGAAGAAAGTAGAAGTACTAATGTTACAACTAATGCAAAAAAAATACTCACAAATCCCAAGATAGCAGTATTCTACACGTCAACGGTTGTTACGTGTGTGAGATTAAGTATTCTAGAAAAAAATTACCCGTTATAATGCTTCTGTTATGGTACAAATATAATATCCAATGATATAAAAGAGTACAAAAATAATTAAAAATTTTGAGGGGAAAATTAAACAAGCAGGAGACTGCAGGAAAGGATCCCACAGTCCAGTTCAACCATTTCTTAGTCTTCAGACACATGATAGCAGAAATCAGCAACCATTTCACTTTTGGTTGGTTAACTGCAAGAACTTATTAGTAATTGTTTAGAAAAATCTTGTTACCATTCACCTTGTGATGAGTTAGACATCACCATCATCATGCTCAGGATTCATCTTGTAGCATACAGATTGGCTATTGGTGGAAAACAAAAACAATTTCAACTAATAATATCAAAATCCAAATTTGGATTTAGCGATTTTTAATACAGCACAACATGGGTAAGCCAAAAGTTGTTGTTGTTGGTCAAGGGTCTGGAGAACGAGCCCAATGAGGAGCAGCTTGGAGAGCTGGGCATGTTTAGCCTGCAAAGGAGGGGACTGAGAGGAGACATGATAGCCATGTATAAATGTGTGGGGGGGGGGAGTTGGGGAGAGGAGGAAAAAAGCTTTTTTTCTGCTTCCCTGGAGACTAGGATGCGGAGCAATGGCTTCAAAGTACAGGAAGAGAGATTCCACCTGAACATTATTAAGAACTTCCTAATTGTGAGAGCTGTTCAGCAGTGGAACTCTCTGCCCCAAAGTGTGGTGGAGGCTCCTTTTATGGAGACTTTTAAACAGAGGCTGGATGACCATCTGTTGGGGGTGCTTTGAACGTGATTGTCCTGCTTCTTGGCGGGGGGTTGGACAGGATGGCCCATGGTCTCTTCTAACTCTATGATTCTATGATTCTATGAATGTTTCTGTTTTAATACCATTTACTCTACTTACTTTTTTGCCTTCAACTGTGTATGTTTTATAAAAGGGCAACTAAATTTAATAAGATCAAACTAAATACAAGTGTTTTTAGCTGTGTTCCAGTTGTTACCAGCCAGAGATTTGTATGAACTGGCCTCAGTTTAACTATTCATCTAATCTGGTAAAGTTTTGTACCAAATATTTTGTTTTACATCCAAGCAGTGACCGAATCATGGAGTTGAAAAAAGTTCCATGGACCACCTAATCCAAACCTACCATAGATCAGTACACAGTTAAAAGTGCTCCTGAGATAGGGACTATCCAACCTCTCTTTAAGCAACCGCAATAAGGGAGTCTCCATCACCCTCCAAAGTAGTCCATTCCACTGTTGAAAAACTGTGAAATCTCTTTTCTTGTAATTTGATAATCTACTTTCTCATTGCCATATAATCCAGTTCAGAGCAGATAATCTGGATTTTGTATGGCAGTGTAGAAGGGACCCAGATTGACTTCCACTGAACATGTTCTGTTCAGGGAGTTTCAGAAAAACATCTACTTCTGCTTCATTGACTATTCTAAAGCCTTTGACTGTGTGGATCATAATAAACTGTGGCAAGTTCTTAGTGGGATGGGCATCCCAAGCCACCCTGTCTCTCTCCTGAGGAATCTGTACAAGGACCAAGTAGCAACAGTCAGAACTGACCACGGAACAACAGACTGGTTCAAGATTGGGAAAGGCGTACGGCAAGGCTGCATCCTCTCACCCAACCTTTTTAACTTATATGCAGAACACATAATGCGATGTGCGGGGCTTGATGAATGCAAGGCTGGGGTGAAAATTGCTGGAAGAAACATTAACAACCTCAGATATGCAGATGACACCAACCTGATGGCCGAAAGCGAGGAGGAGCTGAGGAGCCTTCTAATCAAGGTGAAAGAAGAAAGCGCAAAAGCCGGGTTGCAGCTAAACGTCAAAAAAACCAAGATTATGGCAACAAGAATGATTGACAACTGGAAAATAGAGGGAGAAACTGTGGAGGCCGTGACAGACTTTGTATTTCTAGGTGCAAAGATTACTGCAGATGCAGACTGTAGCCAGGAAATCAGAAGACGCTTACTTCTTGGGAGGAGAGCAATGTCCAGTCTCGATAAAATAGTGAAGAGTAGAGACATCAGACTGACAACAAAGATCCGCCTAGTCAAAGCCATGGTATTCCCTGTAGTCACCTACGGATGTGAGAGCTGGACCTTAGGGAAGGCCGAGCGAAGGAAGATCGATGCTTTTGAACTGTGGTGTTGGAGGAAAGTGCTGAGAGTGCCTTGGACTGCGAGAAGATCCAACCAGTCCATCCTCCAGGAAATAAAGCCCGACTGCTCACTGGAGGGAAAGATACTAGAGACAAAGTTGAAGTACTTTGGCCACATCATGAGGAGACAGCAAAGCCTAGAGAAGACAATTATGCTGGGGAAAGTGGAAGGCAAAGGAAGAGGGGCCGACCAAGGGCAAGATGGATGGATGGCATCCTTGAAGTGACTGGACTGACCTTGAAGGAGCTGGGGGTGGTAACGGCCGACAGGGAGCTCTGGCGTGGGCTGGTCCATGAGGTCACGAAGAGTCGGAGACGACTGAACGAATGAACAACAACAACAACGAACATGTTCTAGTTTGTCAGTATCCTTGAACTGTTCAGAACTCATACAATATTTCAAGATAGATTTGAACAAAGCAGGATACAGTGGCATGATTGTTTCCTTCAATCTGGACATTTTACTGTTGCACTTTAGAGTTGCCCAATCTTTGGTTCTTCAATCTGTTAAATTAATCTTGAATCCAGATTCACTATCCTCTAAGATAAAAGCTGTCCCATCTGGTTTTGTGTCATCTGAAACCTTCATAAATATTCCATCATCTAAATTGTTTATGAAGAAATTTCCCAAGGCAGTACTCTTTGTCACCCGACAAGTTCCTTCAATCAAGAATGCAGTTGTGAGCATACTTTGAGTTTAGTCCATCAGCCAGTTAAAAACTTATCCAACAACAATGTTGTCTAGCCCAGTTTTGTACCAGTTTGTAAGATAACAGGACCCCTTGTCAAAAGCCTTAGTGAAACTGAGAGACACTGCAAGGGCTGCATTCCCTTGTACTCCTAGTCAACTAAAAGAGATAGTGTTAGTCTGACATGACATCCTGGGTTTTAATAATCACAGCATTCCTTTCTGACACTTTACTAATCTGTTCTAGAGACTTTCGTAATATTGATATCAAGCTAGTGTGTTGGTAGTTGTTTGGATCTTCTTTTTTTAACATTGCCTTCTTCCAGTCCACTGGAACTTCTCCTGTTCTCCAAGAGTTCCAAGAATACTCAAAGGTCACCTATAGAGATATCAGGTACAGTTCATCTGCCTCTGAAATTTGAATTTATTTGAAGGAGCCAGATATGAGTGAACAGCTTCTTTGTTTATTCTGGACTTCTCTCCTCTTACTAAATCATGTGTCCTTTCTTTACCAGTTTGCTGTAGTGTTTTTATATCAGGAGAAGACAGAGGCTAAGAAGTGCAAGCCCTCCTGCCTTCTTCCTGTCCCCATTAGCATTTCACCATCTCCACAAAGTGGATGTACTGTTTCCTTCTCTTCTTGATCCAAATATCCTTTTTATTCTTTTTAACCCCTCTAGCAATCCTGAGTACATTCTGAGGTTTTATTTTTCACTTACTTTTTTGCATTGCATTCCTATTTCTTCCATTTCTTATAACTGTCCCTTTGGAGTCACAGGTCATCTGAAGGTTCTCTGTATGTCCATCATGGTCTCTTTATATACCTCCCACTTGTCTTTCTCATTGTAATTGTGCCTTCAATATATTGCCTGCAAGAAATCCTTATCCATTGTTCACATCTTTCTGTCTGAGCATTTCTAATGAGAAGATATCACCCAATATTTCTTTAAGTTTACTGAAATGAGCTTTCTTAAGTCCAAAGTATTTGTCTGAAATGTTTGTCTTCCTGGTTTTTTTTCTGTATAGCTACGTAATCCCAAAAACGATGCAGTTTCTTCCATCCAGGTTCCCACTACTTCACATATAATGCTATTCTTCCTCCTTTCTGCTTGATACATTTCTTTGGAACAGGTGATAACCTTCCATTACTACATGCTATCAGGAGAATCACTAATCCTGCCAGATTTCAGCAATGCCTATTAAATCATATTAAGAATTGAATTTCATCTTGTTTATTTCCCATGATCTCCAACTGATTCATTGTTGGGGATTTTTTCTGCCCATTGGTGGGTCCTTGCACAATCAGGGCAGTTGCTCTTGTATCATTGACGCTATTGTCCCCAATA